AGAATGAGAACGGGTAGCTCTCTAAACCGAGACTTACTTAGGTTTTGACTATTGGACGAGTTGGTCAACCAACAAATCTAGTTGACCCAATTTCTCTTGAGTATGTTTTAATAACACAGTTTGACCATAGCTCTAAGAGAGATATTTTAGATACAATTCATAGCAAATTAAAATCATACTAACTTTCATAAACATTAAGTTCAACGTCCCTAATTTTCTTGCCCTAAATTAGTGACATTACTACATGCATGCCTTAAATCTTCATTGAAATTTGAGATTCTCGTGATATAATCTCTCAATTTCCTTCTCCGACAACACTCTGAATTTCCCTCTCGACTATGTGTATATATTTCAAAAGGAAGGAATGTCGGTGACGGTAGACATGAGAGTGCAGAAACTTTAAGAGGGTGGTGGGACGGTTACCTTCATGATATTAACGGCTAGCAAGAAATCGCGAGATTTCCAACTAGGGTTTGAATGTATTTAATTTATTTTCCAGACCGTGTATAAAATAATAATCAATATGTAGAAAATCCCGAATTTTACACTTAATAGATAAGACATCAGTCATCCCAACAACAGTAGATAGTTCGATTCCCACGCTGATAACTTTTAAACTAAAAACAGTTTATATTACCTAAAACAAGAACGACTAAACAAATTGATTAAGATATTCATCAACAGTCGTGTATTTAACATTAGGATACAACGATGTAGCAGCAAATGATTCGATTCCCACACATATAATTCTCAAACTAAAAACACTTTATATTACCTGAAACAAGAACGACTAAATTAAGATATTCATCAACTGTCATGTATTTAACATCAGGATACAACGACGTAGCAGCAAATGATTTGATTCCCACACTGATAATTCTCAAACTAAAAACCGTTTATATTACTTGAAACAAGAACGATTAAACAAATTGATTAAGATATTCATCAACAGTCGTGTATTTAACATCAGGATACAACGACGTAGCTTCCAATCCAACTGACGCTTCAATTTCACGATGGGTATGATCTCCCTTGACGAATATCGAGTACTCAAAAGCTAGCATCAAATTCAATGGATATGCAGCCTCTACACAATGAAATTAAGTTTAAAAACTAAAATTAGGCCTTTAAATTCGAATATTTTCTTCACTAACCTTGAATGTTCTTCAATAATTGGTGCTCTGAAACGAAGGTTTTGTGAAGAATTATTCCAATTTTGTTTTCCCAGAGGGCCACAAGTTGATTGATTGACAAGACGTTTTCAGAGGGTTTGATGTAGAGAATTTTGTTCAAAGTTCTTGGATCATCCACTGCTTTAATGGTGAAAGAAGCAATGTCTTCTTCGGTGTTGAAAATTGCTGAAACCAAACAAAAACTCATTATTTTAGATGCAGACATTTACCTGAAAACCCACTTGGACGTTGTGCTAATGGACAAAAAGAAAGCAATTCTAAAGGGAAACTCTTACTGTTAGAATTGACATCAATGGTTGAAGGATTCAAACACCCGACCTTTTGATCTAGGTGTAACAGTCTAAATCCATTGCTTACAGCTATTTGTCCGCTACGTATTATCATCAAGCTCGTTGTTTTAAAACGGATCTATTAGGAAAGTTTCTACACTCTTATAAGGAATGTTTCGATTTGGGCAATCCACCCCTTGGGGTCCAATGTTCGGTGTCTGTCTTTAATACCATTTGTAATAGCCGAAACTCATCGCTAATAAATATTGTCCGCTTTGACCCGTTACGTATTGTTGTCAGCCTCACAATTTTAAAACGTGTCTATTAAGGAGAGATTTACATAAATTAAACTATCGCCTAAACCCTAAAAAAAGTTCAATTGCAAGATGAGCCCCAAATTCTTGATTTTTTTGTGTTTTTATGTCTTTAATGGCTAAAAAAAATATATAATAGATTTCTAAATTATGAGATCCCACGTAGGTTGGACAAAACATTCTTATACGGGATGAAACCCTCTCCCTAACATAGACGTTTTAAAATCGTAAGGCTGACAACGATATATAACAGGCCAAAACAGACAAAATCTATTCTATTTGTATTGGGCTTGGGCTATTACAAATGGTATCAGAGCCAGACACTAGGCGGGTGTGCTAGTGAGAACGCTGGGTTCCCAATAGGTGGATTGTGAAATCCTACATCGATAACAAACCATTTCTTATAAGGGTGTGAAAACCTCTCCCAAACCGTTTTAAAATCGTGAGCCTGTGCGATATGTATAAGGCCAAAGCAAACAATATCTGCTAACGATGAGCTTAATGACAATGGTACACGCAAGCTAACCCAAGTAATCATGGATATAAACAAAGAAAAGGTCTATGAACTTTACAAGCATTTTAATAGGAGCTCAACGTTTCGTAGAATGGACCTATTTCATCTACCGACCTAAACAATAATAATCGATATTTTATCTACGGACCTATTCGTGGAATGGACCGACCTCCTATTAATAAATAAAAAAAAAAAGCACAAGCTATATAATGAAGAGAGATAAGAGTGAAGAAGTAATTACCCTTGGGATTTCCATCGCCATGAATAACAACCTTGTCTCTAGGTGGAGCAGTGACCCCAAGCTGACCCAAGCTGGGAACACAAAAGCCATTAAAACAGTAAGACA